GAGATAGTATTCTATAATGACATCACTGTGCTGTAACAAATGAAATGATAAAATTAATGAAAAGTGTAAATCTTTGAAAAAAATTAAGTTTAACTAAAATAATTTGATCAAGAATGATGATAAATGTAAAGATCAACCACATTATACTGGCATGATGCTTAAAATAAAATGGAACATAATTGACTTTCTATGAGATAGAGTTATGATTATTTTTAATAAAACGATGCATTATAGTAATAAGTAATACCCTGTAATAATAAAGCTACAGACCATCCATTACAGAACTGCCAACTATTTTAGAGCTTTTTCTTTGTCTTTGTAAATAACTGTTAGTCAGATAATTATAATTAACATTTTCTTCCGGAATACTTAAATGATCTTTATGTTGTTGTTTTTTTATTATTCTAAAGACTCATGCTCTTAAATTATAGATATAACATATATTTTAACAATGCAGAATGTAAAAAAAATTGTTGCAAAAATTCCAAAACTGTACTAATGCAGAATCTTTTTGTGCTTGTCAATTAAAGTTAAACCAAAAAAAGTGGGATCTGGTAGAAGATCAATTATAGTGTCTCTAAATAAGCTAATATATAATGTATACATTATATAATACAACTGAACAATTAAACATATAAATTAAAATTTAATAAATCCGAGAATGATGATAAATAATTACCTGTAAACCAGATTCAAGTAACGAGTGGCAGAGTTCCCCCTTTGTGTTGTCTTTGTAATTGGGACACATCAACATCAAGCGTTCAATCTAGAGTTCATAAACAGTGTTTATCGTTTAAATGAGTTTAATGAGTTCATTCAACTGACAATTGTATTAAATATTTAAGTTTGTTTCTTGTGAGTTAATTGCACAGAAACAAGATTTCTAAAAGAAAGTCATTCACAAGGGCTAAAGGAGACGCTGGTGTTTTTCTACTTACCAATCAAAGAAAAGTAAGGAAAATGATAAAATGTTGTTGTTTTATTTTTTATAATATGAAAAAAGACACTTTTTTTTTTCAAATTTTAAATCAAATTTTATGCTTCCTCAAAAATTCTAGAACTTAAAATTGCATTTGGTATCAAAAATAACTTTGAAAAACAAAAAATTATTTAACAAAATATTCCATCTGCATGTTAATTTTTAACAAGTGTCAAATATTTCGTTTTCTAAAGTCTTTTGATGCTAGCAAATATTTCGAGGGCATGTATTCCTCGGTGACAACACGGACTAGTGTGAGTGTATATTATGGGTTTATTTTCACAGAACTAAAACATCAACTTGATTCACATTGAAGTTGATACATAAATACATCTTGCAGAAAAGTATTATCCTCCGGTAAAACGCCCTACAGCGAATCTATATAAAAAACGAAGTGATTATTCACAGAGCTGTGCGGATAACGCTCGCCGTTATTCACAGATTTCGTTCTGCCGATAACGCTAAACGTTATTCACAGAGCTGTGTGAATAACGCTCGACATTATTCGCAGAATGTGATAAATTAAATTATGAATATAAAATACAAAGTTATTGAGAAAACATCTCCTCGGTAGTGTAGTGGTCAGTATCTCCGCCCGTCACTCGGCGGACATAGGTTCGATTCCTCGTCGGGAAGCTTCATTTTTATAAATAAAATTTAAAATAAATATATATATTTAATGGTTCTTTCGTAGTGTTATATTATAATAATATTCTTCATATAGCTTTCTTATTCTGTTCACATAGTTTTATTATTATTTTCATGTAGTTTTGTTACTTATGTAACAAGTTTCAATCTATTTTGTTAAAATGTTCATTCAAGTTTCGTCAAAAAACTGTAAACAACATGGACATGCAGATGAGCCGCATAAACCATGTTTAAGTCAGATACAGCTGTTCTAACTGTACATTGT